GATGTATAAAAACTTTTAAAATATAGTTTAAATTTATATATGGACTCATATTATCATATAATTATATCACGTGATATATATAAAAAATTACAATATCAATTACAAAATTCGTGTAACCTTATCGACCAATCACATGAAAGTTCTCCTATGATATATAAATATATAAGAAATTTATAGTCGCACAAATGAGTCAGACGATCATATACTGCGTCCGACCATTGACGTTTATCTGTGATTTTTATGATGATTTTAGATATAACTATAAGTTAATTAGTTTTGAGATAAAAAGAATAACTAACCAGCGTCTTACTTTATTTTATTTTGTAGTGGATCTAAGAATCGAATTTGGAATACACTTTTAAAGAAAACTATGCTAACATGATCTCATCACAAAGATCGATCAACACACACTCCTTAAAATTACAATAGAAAAATTTTAACACTTTCTTATGTAAATATTGGCAAGGAGGTCTGATAACATAAGCTGGAACCTTTGGGTGAAAAAATAAAGAAATTTACGAGTAAAAATTGCACATTTTTTCAGGTGATTGATTTCACATGATCTATTTCGTCCTATGATACTATTGCGAATTTGAATTTATTGCTTGAAGTGAAGCAAGTAAGACAATATTCTGTTCTATACCATTTGCCATGTAATCCATAATTCTCATATTTTCCATCGCAAATAGAACATGGTAAGCTCCACGGCTGAGGTGATGAAAATTATAGTTATCAATTCCCCTAAAACACTATTTCAGAATTTCAAGTATGTGAAATGCTCTAACACGGATTTGATAATTAACTCTGGATCGGGTTTGACTTCGTAAGTGATATACTTAAAATCAAAGGCTTGAGGTTTGTTAACATGCTTGTCATAGTTTTTGGTACTATGGTAGATTTTTTTTTCTGAGCTATACGAAGAAAAAAAGAGAATTTTCCGATATCTTCTGCGCATTTCAGGTGATCAATTTCCTGATTTTTGTCTATGCTTTTACCGATACTATTAGGATATTATTTTGATATAAAGCCTGACCGAAAACTTATATAAATTGGGTATGGGTTTTTTCCCATTCTTTCATAAGATCATCAAGCCATGCAGTACTTGACCGGTGCTTTAGAATATCACAATGCAATAGCTCTTCACCGTCATTCTTTCGCGATCTGTTAGAAATTTACGATATTTCCTAGGATCTTCTTCCTTCTTCTCTATTACTTCACAATAAAATCACATATCAACCTCCAAGATACCGCAGAAGAATTCACCTGCCCATCTTTTCTTATCAGCCTCAGTAATGATCGAAAATTTCTCAGGATCGAGGCCATGCTCAACGGCACATTGGTAAAGACATTCCATTTTATTTGGATATGTCCTAGGAATCGGCGTTCGAGAAGATGCGGATGGTACACTTGCTTGAGGTGTGACTGATGTAAGGGCCTATAATTGGAAGAAAAGACAAAATGTTATTAGTAATTTTAGATGAGTCTTGATAACATAAATAACGTGAT